TCCGAGACACCTGCTCCGGGGCCGCCGGCACAGTTAGTTACACGCGGGCAACACGAGACGCTTCGCTTTGCTTTTTAATGAATTCCGTTTCACCACAACATGAAGTGTAACAATGTTTTGTGTCTTTTTCTCTTTTTCTTAAAAAGGGACTGAACCCAGACAGAGGTGGGAAGACGGTGGGGGGGAGGCGTGGGGCAAACGACCGCCGAACAACAGGTGTAGCCGAGGGGAAGAAAAACGGATGGGGCGGCAGAGCAAGAAGCCCTGCGGAGTCCAGGGTGAACTTTACAAGAAATCTGTACATTTATCAAATAAGTTAAAATTCTCCTAAATTGATTGTCCTTCACTTAAAGCGCTCCAGTCTCCTGTCTGACTCCTCTGAGCATCGCTACCTGTCTGCCCTTCTTCCCTTTCTCCGCCCACTTTCTCCTTCTTAATTTCCTCTTCCTGAAGCAACGACCAGGGTTATACAGTGGAAATGTCTGCCTTGCTCGCCCGAGGAGGAGCCAGGCGCTCGGGAAATTTTGTACAATATTGCACAGGTCAGAAGTACAGCAGTCACTGCGGGACAAAAAGGGCAGGGGAGAGGGTACAGGCCACAGGTTGTTGCTTTTCATATTGAAATCACTCTCTGAGAGGGGATAAAATGATAAGAGCGACATTAAGAATAATTGACCAACAAGTGAAATTCCAAAAATAAATGCCACTAATAAATAAGACCGCGCACAGGGGGGCGGGATGCGGAGCCGTTCCCGTCACCAGGAGACTGATTTGGGGGCTGTCTTTTCCCTTTAGACACTTAGATAATCCTTCGGTCACAAAGAGGAGCCGAGGAAGAACCGAGACAGACCTCGGGAGAGAGAGAGGCGCCCTCAGTCGGGGTTCTTACAAGAGGCTGCTCAGGTTTTGAAAACTGGGGAGGATACCGGTTTTTGCGGGGGGGGGGGGGTGTGGAGAGGCAGAACCACACCCAGAAATCTAGAAATAAAAATACTGCAATGCGAATTCTCTCTCTCTTTCTGCCCCCCCTCTCTCTCCCCCTGAATATAGTTCTATAGAAACAAATAAATTAGAGGGGGCCCGCTTTTGGCGTTTATTTTTCCTTCGATAAAAATAAAACCAAAAAAGCCACAGCGCGCGATGCAAATTTGGTGGGAGGGTTGCTCCTATTCCCGAAGCTTCCAGCCGAAATATGTTGACCCAGGCATGGAGTCTGTTTCCTGTTCTCTGAATAGAAGCCAAAAACCAAAAGGAAGAGGGGAAGCGCCTCAAATCCACGTGGGGTGAATTGCACGAAAATGCATTGCAAATACTTACAAAACGCTACCG